AATATTCTTTATGGACTTCTTGGAAATATACTTATCGCGAGTTAAAGAGTTAGGTCAACAAGCCAAGTGGTGGCGATGGTGCAATGGATATAGGGTTTACCAACTCCAGTTCCCACACATCATAAAGTTCGTTAAGTGAATCATTAAACAAATTACAAATTAGTATGCCAGTTATAAATAGCGGCAGAATAATACATAAATAAATAAGCCAGATCTATATAGAGGTATATTTGTACGCATAACAAGGGGGCACCGAAACCGAAGCACCTACAAAGTAGGTAAACATACATGTCCATCAATGTTGTGTAAATATTGGCGCAGTGAGTTAGTGTAGGTGGCTATGAAAAGCTGCACCACCCACAGGCATTCATTTCAGTCGGCAGAACTGCGTCTATATAGTTTGGGGCCCCTTGCCGATCACCGGGTTAGTCAGCTGTTTGCTATGGATAACGATAACGATGAGTGGGATCCATTCCGGTGAATGGATTTCGCAGCGTTATAATGACGATTCTTTATTGCTCACAGGGTGGAAATTTTCGAAAACAATGGACTGCAAATGTTTGAAGATTTAGTCATGTAGTCCCTAATTTTAACTAAATCACCCTTGAAAGAGTTAAGTAAAGGCTTTATTATCATTAATCATTATAAATTTAAGACTCTAAGAAAACGATCTTTCAATTTAAGATCTGAAAATTTCTACTTCAAAAACAATATTACACAAAGAAACGATTTTCCATATTCCACTAACTATGAATCCCTTTAATAAACCTAAATTATTTTACAACATAATCTTCAAAAAGAATATGATATATGTGTGGGTGGAAAAACACTATATAATTTACCTGACGTTAAATACCACAAAACTGACCGCAGAAAAGGCGAAAAAACAGACCGCAGTCGATCTTGACTTCATAATACCATTCCCATTCATTATTCCATTCATGAATGTATCTCGAGCTATTCCAAATGCTGCATTAACGTAAGCAAATCAAAACAAATGTCCGTTGAACCCATAAAATAGATCGATGCGCGAAATGTTTTAATCTTCAATTAACAGGGCAATTTGTACAAATTTATGCATTATGGAAATTGTTTAGCGAAAAGTGAATTTCCAATGAAATGTAAATAAATGCCAAACGGATTTCGCTCAAATTGTGTCGCTAGAGAGAATCAGATAGAGAGGCCAAATAGATGATCTTGGCAATGATATATGGGCTATATGTAGACAGCATCTTTGCCTCCTCCATCTGCTTGTTAAAAATTATTAATTGCAAAAATGTGTAGAGCAGTCAGCCGACTGTATGTAAATTCGTATATGTTCTTGCGTATCCGATAGATTCGGGCAATTTCACAACTCAAGAAAAAGAAAAATCCAACGTCGGACGATGACTCAACTCAATCCGAGCTGCTGCGCTACATTACCTACTTTCAATATTTTGTTGTGTTGACGGTAGCGAGAAATTTAGCCCACAAATAGCAGCCAATTGACAACAGTAAAACATGGCCAAATATGTACGAAGTGGGCCCATGACGTAAGCGCCCCACGGTAGCTGCATAAATAGGCAAAAACTATCGAACAAGAAGTGATATGAAAAGGTTGCAACGAAGTTGGAATTACCCTTGCAAATCGTAATTTCCTATGACTGATAATTCCTTTTTTATCATGTTGATTCATCATGATTTTGTTGATTTGCCCGTTAGGAAATAAGAAGATTTATTGATTTTGCTATTAGGGAAATTATAAAATGACCACTGACCAAAGGTGATCATTTTGATTTTTAGAATTGTCTCTTATATTTGAAAACCAATTAAAACAAAATAAATGTTGTTCTTTATGTCTCATATAAAAATATTGAATGAAGTTTTATATATTATATCATGAAACGAACAACTCGATTGTAGGGTATCAAAGGCTAAACAAATGCGAAATTTACATGAGCGGGTCATGATTTATTAGCAACAGACAAGGACGGACAGAGAGACGCGAAATTACAACTCAAGACGTTGGCGCCCACATTTATATGCACAGTGATAAGGAGAGAGGGGGAGATACATAAGCGTTTCATTCACAAAACGAAAGCAAATAAAATTCGGCGACATTTGAGATCGATTTACATTTGGTTTTTCTGCTCGTGTAGATGGATCAATTAAATGCCAAAAGAACGGGCACAAATCTGTTAACCAAATTTGGACAAAAGGAGTGGCCACATAACGGATATGGGAATGGACCCAAAGCGAGTTTAGTCATCTCCTTCGGCATGAATCAATCACAATAGATTCATTCACAATGGGCTCCACTCACACATTGTCACTTATTTCAAGTTCCGTTTTTGCCAATTTAGAGTGAGACATCAATGCAAAAAAACACTACTCCCCTGTACTCCTCACTCTTGTTAGCTATATATATGTAGGTACAACTTTATTAATAGGTTGCTCTCGCTCTGGCTCCCTCCTACTTCCCTCTCGCTCCCTCCCAATTGCACGTGTTGGGGCCGCTGCAGCAGAAACAACAACAAAAGTCTCGACGCCGACAGCGGATTTTGTTGGATTTTATTTTTGGGTCTTGAGGCTTCTTTCGCTTTTTTTTATATTCTTCTTTATGTCTTTCCGATTTTGGAGGTAGCTCGCCATGTGAAAGGAAATAATTACTTTATTTGTTGTTTTTGTGTGTGTATGCGTACAGGCTGGGTCAAAATAATAGTGAAAACAACTTATTTTCCAGAAAAGCAGGTACATCGAATATTAAAATTATTATTTAAATTTGGGAAATTATTATGTTTTTTAAACATTTTTGTATCATATTTTTTATCGACCAAAAATATATTATTTTGAATTTAAAACTAAAAAGTCATAAAACAGGGTTGAGAATTTTACAAAACTTATTCGAACACCATATACCCCTTTTTTTAAAAAGCAAATAAAACTATATTATTTTGACCGCATTTGTTCGCCTATTATGAATGTGTGAGCAAGATTGTTGTTATGGCCGTGTTGCCTTTGGTTGATTTGGTTGTTTCTTTTTCTCTGTTGCCAGCTGGGCTGCATTTCAAACAATTTGGAAATTTGAAATTGTTTGCAAGCTTTTATTAGCCAATGTTGCCTGTATTCGAACTCCTCCATCGCTTTTTCGAATTGCCTGCGTCTAAACAATAATTAACAGTAAATGAAAATGGGCAGGAAATGCGCGAGGCCGCTTGTAGGTCAAGAAGCATTAGTTGGGCAAGCCATTACTTCCCTAGTCGATGGTATTATTCTGGCCACTGTGGTGCAATGCCTTTATTGCCTTCGTTAGGCGTTAGATGCTATATAGTAAATATACCTAACGGCTGATAATGACGCATAATTGCCCAGACTAAAATCACAGAGATCGTCAATTGAGAAAAAGTGAGATCAGTGACAAATTAAGCGTGGCAATTTGAGCGCAGCTTTAAGCGGTCACATCCGTTTTGCAGAAATACCCGCAGCGTAGAACATTAGACAAATTTGCACATTTAATCAAAGACAATTACTTAATTGCTCAATTACAGCAAATAACTGGAGTACTAGCAAGGAAATGGGAACGGAACAAGTGCAACAAATTATAAAAAGGATGAGACACCTACGCGAAGCATTAGTCATAACTATCAGAATTGGTATATATCATGAACAGCTCTAACCAATTTAATCGTTAAATTATATTCGTATTTGAGTTACAAAATATTTAAGATCCCTCCTTATATCTAGTTTCTCTATTTACCTTTCTGGAGTGAGATGGCAATAGCCATCGTCAAGTGCGACTCTTTGCTGGTGTTTTCGCTGTAGCCCCTGCACTTCCTACTAGGAAATTCTACGGAATTCAGAATTATGTGCAGCAGCAGCGTTGGCAAGTGTCATTTGAGACCCAAACACAAAGAGACAAACAGCAGCTGCTCCACCAGTGGGCTTGTGTGAGTGTCAGAGAGTGGATTTTATTTGAAATTCAAACTCTTTTTATGGTACCCAGTTATTATAGGGTAGTTTAGGGTATAACAAACTTCAGAACAGTTGGGAAAAGTAAAGAGAATAGAAAAGAACAACTTAGTTAATGCAGGGAAGTTTCTATTCTTATAAAAATAAACTTTAATTTTATAAATTCATTTTTATAAACTTTAAAGGTCTAAAGACTAAGCCCTAAAATCCATGGCTTTTTTCAGTGTTTCGAGCGGTATTAGCTAGTCGTACCTCTATTTATGTTCTTTCTTCCCCGGGTTACCAGTAAAAATCGTAAAAATCGACGTCGCAACAGCTGTAGGAAAACTATAAACCACTTTGGGAAATGCGTTAGGAAGGGGGTCTCCTCTTATTTTTTGGCAGGGCTACGCCTTTTGCTCTTCCGCGTTTTCAAACTCCGGGATGAACTTTTGTGCTCGATTTTCCAGTTGCCAAAAAGCGCCGGAAATTGCTGGCAACTGTCGGCGGTCGCCAGATCGTCGGCAGCCCCTTTTTTATATGGAAAATCACAACCTGATTCACAAGCACTTGGCGAAAATTACATAATCGCCCAACAAATGGGAGCACCACACAGTCGTCATATCGAAATTGTGCCAAATTGCAATTGCAGAATGATAATAACGATGAGTTATTTCTCCCCCAGTGAGATGTTCATATTTTTCCAACAATTTTCTGAAATCAGCGGGTGGCTAATTTCGCTCAATTTTCGCTGTTTCTTCGGCTGGGAAAACATTTCAATTTATATTTTCTTGATTTTCCTCCAGCCCACCAACAGAGGTATTCTCCAGTTTTTCGGGTTTTCCGAGGGATTTTTTGTTTCTACCTGCGAATACCTGCCCAAAAAAAAGGAAGGCGTGGGAATCACCAAAAATATATAGAGTGAAGAAAATATGAGAAACGAGAAAATTGCAATTGCAGGACGTGTGAAAATGTGCGGAAGACAGGAAACGTGGGCAGGACCGCTCGCAGATTTCCCGGAATGGCCTTGGCCAATGGGAAAGCGATTTTCCCTTGATTTACCATACACTCACCTTTTTGGGCAAAGAGGAAAATTTTAGTTGTTCCGTATCCAAAAAAAACAGGTCTTTTATAACTCGGTGCTCCAAATCTCCAGAAGAACACAATATTTTCTTTCACTGCCGATCGATCCAAGTTGAAGACGAATTTTCGCACTTTTGTTTTACGTTTTTTCACCGATTTCGTTTTGGAACATTTATTTTGCACACAATTATTTATTAAATGCTGCACACACACAAATTAAATGTAATTGTGTATGTGTTTGTTGTTTACGTACGTGTGTGTGTGTGCGTAGAGCACGCCTCGCACACACTGACAAATATTCATTCACGATACGGTGATCACGATCTTCGCGCTCGCTCTCTCTCATTCATATTGTTGTTGTCGTTAAAAAGCCAAGAGAAAAATAATACTATATGAAATGTGAATGCGAAAGACGCACAAAGTTATCAACACGACGGGTATACGAGTGCTGTGTTGTTGTTGTTGCTGCTGCTACTTGTTTTATATTTACTTGATTTCATATTTTCATATTTCTTTTCGTTTGCTACCTGTGTTTTAGTTAAACGAACACACGAAAAACAACACACACGCGCACGCACACCACACACACGCACACACTCACACTACGGAACGAGAGACGCAAAGGTAAAGTGGTAAACTGTGTGTGCAAGAAAAAAAGGCGACAAGAAACGGAACGGAATTAACGGAACCCGTATATATGCACGCGCTCGGCGATTCAATGGCGATTTCAACTGCACTTGGTGTGTTTTTGGGCTAAATATTTAAGTTTTCCCCGCTGTGTGGGTCGAAGTATTCAGTTTGGGCTGCCGAATTTTCCTGGTCGTTCGTAGCACTCGCGGTGTTACGTTTTTCGGCGATGCGCGGAGAAGCGTCGTGTCGGAATTTATCGCCGCCGAGTCCACGTGTAATTGCAAAACCTCCAAAATCAATCACTCTAATATATCAACTCTAGCTTGAGTTCGAATGCAGCCATTTGTAGTTTTAGCGAGGAGCAGCGAAAACACGTCCGAACGGCGAGAAAAATGTTTTTGTTCTCTTTCTCTTTCTCCGTCTTTACTTTCTTCTTCTCTAGAGGTGGAGGAACTTCGATTCAAAACGTCATCGATGTTTTCAAAACGTCGGTCTTATCGATGTTTTCAAAACATCGGTTTCATCTTTTTCTTTCTGTTCGACGATTCGCTTACATTGAGGTGGCTTTTTATTATCTTTCTCCTTCTATTCTTCTGTTAGTTCGACGTTTGGCTAACATTTCGTGGTTCGCGTCTAGAGGTAGAGAAACATCGATGCCAACATGTTTTCAAAATATCGATGTATAGCAGGGCTTCATCAACGCTCTTCCACCCCTAACCACTCGAAAACGGTCACACCAAAAAAAGATTACCCCACTATTGCCCTCTGTTAACGATTCCACTGTTAAATATAAATAAATGAATAATCCGAAAGACACAAATTAAATAATTAAGTAACTTTAATTAATGAACTCTTAAAATGCCTAACAAGGAGTTCTTTTAAATTTAATATTCAACTGTAAATGATATATTGATATATTTTTGGTAAATTAAAATAAGGGAAATTTAAATATATAACAAACATATATTTAATTGTTTATTGGGATTAAGTACATTTCATTAACATAAATCTGCAATCAAAAATTAAAAAATAGTATATGTATGTTAACAAATTGCCCATATTTTTCTTCCGTGCAGCTGTACGCATTTTGGTATTTACCAACACTGCCGCTAGCACGCGTTCGATTTCCAGGTGGGGAAAAAAATAAACAAATTGCAGTGGTTCAACAAGTGCGGGGATTTAAGAACAAATGGGAGTCCGGGGCCTAACCAGTTACATAGCACAGCGTGCGGAGATCTACCTGAAGCCCTTCGAGCTCCACTCCACGGCGCTGGTCATCGACGGGGACAATCTTTCCTGCAATTTGTACAAGGATGTCGCCGGGAGCTACTCCGCTTTTGGGGGGGACTACGACGACTTCTACCGCGCTGTGGTCCAGTTCTTCCAGGTCCTGGCCGAGTGCAACATCCGGCCATATGTCCTCATGGATGGCGGCTACGAGGAGCGCAAATTGCGGACCGTGAGCACCCGGCTGAGGGGCAAAATCACCGTGATCAAGAAGATAAATCCAAATGCCTCCATCACTCTGTTCCCGCTGCACCTAAAAGAGGTCTTTGTGGACGCAGTCCGGGATTGCGGTGTCCCGGTGATGCGGTGCGTCTTTGAGGCGGACGACGAACTGGCCGCCCTGGCCAGGAAGCTCAACTGTCCAGTGCTGTCCTACGATTCGGATTTCTACATCCATAATGTCAAGTACATACCGCTGATCACGCTTACAGTGAAGGTTCGTCTACGGGATCATTTATATTGTCGTAGATCAAGATAATGAGCTTAAAAAGATTCCTTTGAGGCACAGGATAACTTTACTTTTAATTTGTCATAAGGCTTATTTACCCATTAATACTTACAATTAATGGTTTTGATTTTTTAATGAAAATCGGAAACTAACTAATTCCCTACATAATTGCCTTTTCAATATTCTGCAGTTAAAATGATAAGAAAATAATCAAAAAGCTCAAAAAATACTACTATTTTGACCGCAACTATTTTACAATTTAAATATACTTAACAAATCTGTGCCCCCGCAGGTGCTCACCAAACAGGTGAAAGACAAGAACAACCACAAACAGAAGGATTGTCGGGATCTGCGACGCAATGAGGCCAAAAATGTGGAAAAGCGCACCAAGGCCAACAAAATAGTGGCTGGAATACAAACTTTAGAGGAGGTATCATCCCCCAAAGGGGGGAACACCAAGACCTACAAGTACCTGGACTGCTGCATCTACCGAGTATCCCATCTTTGTGGACGCAGCACTCTCAGTCCCGAGAAACTGCCACTTTTTGCTGCCCTTCTGGGCAACGATTATATAGCACGCAGTGCTTTCAAAAACTTTTTTGCTGCCGGCATGGGAAAAGCAGGCAGAAGTCGCAAGCTAAAGATTCAGCAGAAACGTATTCAAGTTATACTTACTTGGCTAAAGGAAGAAACAGCGGAGTCTGCTTTGGCCAAAGTTTTGTCCAGGCTGAAAAAGGTTGGTTTCAATTTTGTGATTTTTGGGAATTCTTAAAGTTAAAACACTATGCTTACAGAACCAGCGTGAATCTCTGGTGTCGCAGGTCCATGCAGCCATCTCTGGTTACTCCAATGAGCTCTGTCATGCCTACGATTTCTTTGAGGAGCACTACGAGAAGGCTTTCCCCTATGTAGAACCCCCCAGCAGCGAAGAGGAACTAAGCGATGAAGAGGATGTAGAGGAAAACTTGTCAGGAGACGAAGATTTAGCAGGAGAAGATGAAGAGCAGCAAGAGGAAGCTGAAAATCAAGACGAGGAGGAGGAGGAGGAACCACCAGAAAACCAAGAGCCAGACTCTGGAGCAGAGGTTGAAGAGGAGGCGGAAGAGGAAACGGATGAAGTCGAAGTGGAGGACAAAACGCTGCTCTTTCCGCAATGGTTCCTGGACAAACTCTACCCTGCCCATCTCTCCCGCTATTTTGTGGATCTCATGCACCTGCGGAAGTACATCAACAACCCACAGATCGAGCACTTTCCCTACCACGACTCCAACGAACTGGCCCTGCCCATTCTGAACTATGTCTTCGCCCTACTTCACAATGTGGAGGGTGCCAAAACGGAGCCACAATTGGATGAGGAGGGTGCACCGTTACCGATTGCGTTTACCTACCTCACAAGAGCTCTGCGCGTCACGAATGTAAGGTACTTCAAGATGCCCATCGAAAAGGAGCCAGCCTATGCGTACGAACCAACTGCACCAGATGCCAGGCATTTGAAAGCGGTATTCGAAGCCAATGTGCCGCATGCGAATACGGAAAAGCTGTTCAAGAAACTGGATGAACTGCCAGAGGATCTGAGATTGTATTTTCTGGCCATAGTCTATTGGCTGCATCGCTCGGAACATTGCGATCTGCTCCATCTGCACTCGCTAATCCTGAGTTTAATCGTCTTACGGACGATAGACGTTACCATACCCGCCGAAAGGGAAGTGAAAGCTTTTCGCAAGAGATTTGGCAAGACTTTGAAGGCAGAACGCGGAGTGAGGGACAAGGAACTGGGTGAGGGGATCAAACGTGGCATTAAACCTGCACTCCTTGAGCTCTCCGTACCGGATCGAATGGCCCATGTGCCCAAATCGGATTGCTATTTAACGCAGGAACGTCTGCTGCCGCACTTTCACATGCAGGAGATATTCAAAAAGAAATTTGATTTGTACTCAACGACGGTCATTCACTCGTTTGCCGAATTTCAGGCTGTGGTCTATCAACTCAACGGTCTCAATGCCCTCTTGGATTTCCCTCTTCTGAGTCCTCGAATGAATCAACTTTATTGCGGCGCTTTTCTCTACAACATCTATGATCTTCTGAGGAATCGCGGCGATGTCCGCTACCACATAGAAAACTTTCTACTGCCCGACTCAAAAATGATGTTCGATTTCTATTGCTTTTTGTACGATTGGTGTGCCGAATTTGTGCCACATTGGAAGCAAGTGGAGGTGGATCAGACGGCGGTGAAGGCGCAAAAGAAGCGATTGAAGAAGCAACGTCAGGCGGCGAGAAAAACGGAAGCAAAGGAGGCCAATGCGGATCCCAATGCGGATATGCTGGTCAAGGATGCAGATCCCGATGATGACTTCTTCGATTTGAACAACAAATTCTGCGCACTTAAAGTGGGGTAGCAATCTAAGTATATTAAGTGCAATCTTATTATTGTTATTCAGTTACAGAACTCTAACTTTATTACCTTAATAAAAACGAGTTTTGTCAACAAACATGAACAATTGTGGATCAAGTGTTGCTTCTACTAGAATTAAAGAAATACACAATCGATAATCATCAAATTATTAAATGTTGCTTAGGTATCAAAATCTATACTTTCATTACAAATCCCTAAATAAAACACATTTTCATATTTCAAGACACCTTTAAAAGTGGCTTAAAAATTATAGAATTTTCAAAAACACTAATTCAGTCTATTCGATTCTTATATACTGATACTGATACTGATACTGATACTGATACTGATATATATATATTTATTGTAAGGCGCTGCAAATATATTTAATATAATATTCAATAGATTTGTGGTTCCTCTTAAAGAAGAATTTAATTACTATTTAAATTTGAAATTAACGTTCTGTTACTCTCTATGTTATTCCTCTGTTAAGAGGTACATTTAGTATTTTTTTTGTTACAAGGAAAAGCAAAGATTTTTGGCCGCACCTGCTGCGGTCACACCAACAGCTACGTCACTGCTGTTATCGTTGTAATCAACAAAAAAAAAGAAGGAGAGGAAAGGAAAATAAACCAAATTGTGAACGCCGCCAGACTGGTGAAAAGTTCTCGCTTAGTTTGTAATCAGCGCCCGACGACACTGCCAACAATAAATGCCACCACTGTGACCTTCGGGCGGGAGCAGGAGCACCGCTGCCAGATCGAAAACAAAGGCCAAAACAAAGGGGCGCCCCCAGCCCAAATCAGAAACAGAAAAAACAGAAACAGAAAGTCATTGGCAGGCAATTAAGTTGAAGAAACGGAGGCTTTATTCTGGTCACCTGGTGTCCACCAGTTCCTCCTCCATCCAATCCACCCCCCCGCAGTGGGCAGTAGATGCTGGTTGGACTCAGCGACCAGCTAGCGCGGATCATGGAGAGCGTCTTCGAGGCGTATTTGGGCCCGGAGGGCGTCCTCGCCAGCGCAGTGGGCCAGGCGGTGGGCAGCGGCGAACCGGAGGACATTCCGCGCCGGAACACCGACGTCTGGGTGCTGGGAAGGCGGTACAATGCCATACAGGGTAAGATGATATCACATATATGTACATTGGCAACATGTGTGGCTCAAGATGAGTCATTGGTGTTTCCTTCCGAAACATAACTTTTAAAACAGGGGGATTACCCTCTTAATTCTGACGTTAATTTAGGGATATAGATGAACTGTTTTGTATTTTTTTTAATTTTCTAACGAACTGTTTGCAACTCAAATACATTTATTAATTTAATTTCGTTGAAAGATATTTCTTGAGTTGAATTTATAAATTGCCTTTGTTTTTGTAGCCACCTAGAAATGAATATTTTCTAAAAATCAATTCCGTACGATAAATTTAGTAATTGTTAAATAATCTCTTGGCAGAACTGGAGCTCATCCGACGCGACATTCAGTCGCGGCTGTGGTGCACCTACCGCCATGGATTCTCGCCGCTGGGCGAGGTGCAGCTCACATCGGACAAGGGATGGGGCTGCATGCTCCGCTGTGGTCAGATGGTGCTCGCCCAGGCCCTGATTGACCTGCACTTGGGTCGCGACTGGTTCTGGACGCCGGAATGTCGGGATGCCACCTACCTCAAGATCGTAAAGCGATTCGAAGACGTGAGGAATAGCTTCTATTCCATACACCAGATCGCCCTGACGGGAGAGTCCCAAAATAAGGCTGTTGGCGAGTGGCTGGGACCGAATACAGTAGCCCAGATTCTCAAGTATAATAAATGTGTTGTTTAAGATAGGATGTTATTAAATTTGTTATATATATTTGCAGGAAACTAGTGCGTTTCGATGACTGGAGCTCTTTGGCAGTTCATGTGGCCATGGATAGCACAGTGGTTCTGGATGATGTTTGTAAGTGGTACTTACCTAAACAAAATTCCCTTATTAATCTTATATTATTTTAACCCATTCTAGACTCCTCGTGTCGCGAGGGTGACAACTGGAAGCCACTGCTGCTCATAATCCCACTGCGCCTGGGCATCACCGACATTAACCCGCTTTATGTGCCAGCTTTGAAGCGTTGCCTGGAGCTGGATAGCAGTTGTGGCATGATTGGCGGTCGACCCAATCAGGCGCTGTACTTTCTGGGCTATGTGGACGACGAGGTCCTCTACCTGGATCCCCATACCACGCAAAGGACGGGCGTTGTGGGCCAGAAAACCGCGGCGGGAGAACAGGAATACGACGAGACCTACCATCAGAAGCATGCAGCTCGCTTGAGCTTCTCCGCCATGGATCCCTCGCTGGCGGTTTGCTTCCTCTGCAAAACCAGTGACAGCTTCGAGGAGCTGCTGGCGAAATTCAGGGACGAGGTGCTCAGCCTCTGCTCGCCGGCCCTCTTCGAGATTAGCCAAACGCGCGCCGTCGATTGGGACACAACGGAGGACATCGACTGGCCCACCATGCCCGACATCGATTGGCCAGCGGGCACCTCGGATTCGGACTCCTTCGCCATAGTTGGTAAGAGAAGGAGTTACATTTCTGATGCTCGTACTTAAGTTAGTGTTTATAGAAAGGTAGTTAAACCTGCGTCTATCTGATTTAACTAGACTACTATATTTTCCGCCTTGTGTTTTTTTGATCACATAGATCGAGAACAGTATACATTACATGTTATAAATATCATTTATTTAGACAAATATTTGTAAAGTCAATCTCACCTGGTTAAATAATTTAAAGCCTTGCATATCAAGAGTTTTTTTTCTATATATATTTCGTGTTTGCTCAGATAGTATAGACTTTACTTTGAATGCTTGGCAATCCATAGTCGGTAGCCCCTACAGCATGATTTCCACTCAAACTCATTCATGAAATCACTCCGTTTTTCAGAGGAGAGCGGTCGGGACGGCGACGCCGGCTGCAGCGGCACTAGTACCAGTGGCAGCGGCAAGAAATCCAGTGAGAGTGCCTTCATTTGAAGCGCCTGCGCCGCACCAAAAGCCGAACCGATGAAGCCCAACCAGGCGAAAGTGGAGCAGCCGACGATGAGATGGACACGAGGATGAGGATGTGGATGTGAATGAGGATGAGGAGTGTCTGCGAGGGGGAGCAGGATTGTCGAGCCCCCACTGCGGATGCTGCAAGTGCTGCGAATGCAATAAACTAAGGCTAAAGTGCATAATTAGACGAGTGGTTGAGATTTAGTTTTTAGTATGTTTACGATTTACGATTTGTACGAACGAATGCGATTCTTAGCGATTCATAATGCTGCTTTATTGTACGCGATATTGACATTGACTCCACGGGAGACAATTTGGCAAAAAGAACACAAACACACAATCTCACACAGAGAGACACACACGCTTTTTTTGATGATGATGATCAATTAAACATTTTTATGCAACCGTTGTACATTGAAGACTCGATGAGATCGATCGCTGCCTTAGTAGCCAAGTGTGTGTATTTATATATTCATATTCGTTTCGTATATTCATCTGTATATGCTCAAAAATGGACCAACAACTAAATACATAATACTTGGACTATATGTATGTATCTCTATATATATATATGTATATACTATATATATTAACTTTGCTATCCGCCTTTTGGACTCAACGGTTGGACAAACTCAAGCTACACGAATTAAGGAACTTTCTCGAATGAGTAACCAAGGAAAGGTTGTAGGAAACTCTACGTTAACAACAAACTCGCGTCTATGCAGCTGACAAATTGACACTAATTGGGCTTGTCCAGTGGCCTTCTGAATTTATTCCCGCAGAAAGGCAAACTTTAAAGTACTAACTCTTCTTCGCAACTCAAATAAATTATCTTTGTTAAGGTCTTTTGGAAGCTTAAATTTTCTGTCCTACTTAACTCTTCAAAATAATTAGTTGTTTAAAAAAGATTTTTAAATACTTTTACTTTCCAACTTTCTGAAAAATTAGTTTTGGTTAGCATTCTAAATTTTTCTAATCTTATTTGGTATTGTAACATTTTTAAATCTATTTATTTGTTTATATTTCCAAAGATAAGCAAACCAGCAAACTCTGCTAACCAGCTTTTCCAAAGAAATAACCTCTTTTTCTTAGCAAAATAAATTCAGATTATCGAATCACAAAGAAATAAGGAATTATTTTTCTTAAAGCTTGAAGTTCCGCTGCTTTCCAAAGAAGTTTTATCGAAATAGCCTCTATTTCTCAGCAAATCAAATTCAGATTACAAAATCACAAAGAAATAAGGAATTGTAGTTCTCAGAACCTCTGTTTTCCTGATTTTCCAAAGAAGGTTTAAGGAAATAACTTGTATTTCTCAGCTAAATTCCATAAAATGCCTCTTGCAAAGAAGGTACATCCAATGAAGCTCTATTTCCTAGCCAATTGCCATAGAACCCAAAGTTTGCCTTTCCTTTCGGGCTAATCCAAGGACCACCAGGACCAGGAGAGTACTATAAACATTCAACATCTATTCACGACTCTGCCTTAGAGTATGCAGCATGATCTCTCGATGCGCTTTTCCACCTTTGGCTCACTGTGCAGGGCCATTTCCACATGTTTCCTTGCCAGCCAGGATTGCTTTTGCAATCGATTCACCACAATCCTGTAGGCTCCAATGATATCGGAACGGGGTCCACTCTGGCGAGCATTTATGAGCATCTCAGAGGACAGACCCAGTTCGGCAAGGATTTGCCTGGCCTCGAACTCCAAGGCTCCCAGTTGGCTGAGATCCTCGGTGCTGGTGGGCAACATGATGCAGCTGCCCGTCTCCGCATCGTAGTTTTTGAACAGCGGACAATCGTCGGCCACCTCGACGTTCCAGGGATTCATCTTGGTCTGTGTGCCATTGGCCAATTGCTTTTCCGGCTCCGTTTCCATGGGCGTCACCTTCTTTTTGAGACTGCCGCACAGCATGTACCGCCTCGTTGGCCTTTTCACCTGCTCCGGCGGCTCCTTCAACTGCTGACCCGATCCTGAACCCAATCCCGATCCTGATCCCGATCCCGACATCTGAAGCATCAGTTCGTGGCCCATCTCAATGGGTTGCAGGTAATTCTGCACAAACATCTCGTCCTGCTGCCGCGTATTCATACTAATGGCCGGCTTCTTGACCACCTCCGCATATCGATCGCGCAGGGAGGCGGATTTCCTCAGGCGATGCGACTTGCTGCGCACCCAGAAGATCGATCGCTTCGCCGGCTTACTGTGCTGGTTGATCTCCCACTGCATCAGATCGGCACTCAGCTTGGGACACGTAACAAACTGGCTGTTCAGCATGTCGTCGATGGTGGGCCGCTGGGCGGGGATGTGGATCAATATGCGTTCTGCAGAAAAAAACAAAGAAGAAATATCCAATAAATAGGTTAGTGTGTTAAGGTTTTTAGCAATTTTTACTCATTTTCAATGGTTCATTTTTATTGGCAAACCATTGCCAATCTAGAGTTAAGCAATATTATAATCTCTACCAACTTCTTGAACCACTATATATTTTTATATATTTTTTCTTGATTTGTTCATTACTTAGTTAATCAATATCTCTCTGAATTAAAAAGGCACTATTTTTTACATGTTTTCTTATTAATTCAATACCTTCTTACTTTAATATTTCTATTATTTTTTTTAAATAATTATATATTATTATATATACGTATTTTTGTTATTTCCTTTTTCAAAAAAAAAAAAACATGACTTAAAACCAGCACTTCCAAGTCCATAACTTTTGTTACACATATCCGATTTTAAAAAGGCATACTTTTACAGTTTTGTAGTTTAATTTGCTAAGAACCTGCATTCAAAGTTTGAATTTAATTGAATTATATTATATAATATTATATTATATAAACGCATAGATTCGTGCTATTTAAAATGTTTTGGAGTGAATATTTAAGGCCTTTTCGGTGACAACTGAAGTACAAGTCGTATGCAGGGCAAATTATATTATGTTATATTAGATAAATTATATTACCTAAAGATGCATGTCATTTAAAGTTTTTTTATTATATATAAAAGGAATTTTCATCGACAACTCACGTATAAGTCTTATGCAGGGCAAACTGAGCTGGCCGGGCAGCAGATAGTCGCCCTTGAGAATGGCTGCCTTGAGGCCGGGAATGGTGGGTGCCCGGAAGGGCATGTTGCCGACCACCATGAAGTAGAGCAGGATGCCCAGGGCCCAGACGTCCACCGGAGCACCGATGTAGTGGTCATCGGAGAAGAGCTCGGGAGCCGCGTACGGTGGTGAGCCGCAGAACGTATCGAGCTTTTGATTGGCACCTGTCAAAGAGTTGGAAATTGATTAGTTTGCCGATGGAATGAAATGATGGCAGCGGGATAGCGGATTGTTGTTGCGGCCTGGCTGTTGACCTCACCATTGATAAGTTGGGTGCTGAAACCGAAGTCGGCCAGCTTGAGGCGATCTTCTGAGAGGAGCAGCACATTTTCCGCCTTGATGTCTCGATGCACGTAGCCCAAACTGTGCTGTAAGAATTAAAAGGAAATAAATATAAATTAATGAAATTGTTTTACAAACAAGAATTTAAAATTAATACCAAAATCAAATTATTGTTAATGGATTTTATTTAAGCCATAAAAAAAGCTTTAAAGTGGACTAATTGAATCTATTTTTTCGCCACACATAACCAAACTAGGTTTCAAAAAAAGATTTTATTAATACGCAAGAAAATAAAGAAACATTAAAATCAAATTCATTTTCATTACTTTTATTTATATATTTTTTTAATGATTGCGATACAATTAATTTGTTTTCCGAACAATTCAATAAATTAACTATAAATTGCTTACCAATTTCATTGAAAAAAAAACAAGTTATTAAATAAACATTTAAATTATACAAAAGAAAGAATAAATAAAAATCAAATGCATTTTAATGGCTTTTATTTAAAGAAGCCATAAATCAAACCTTAACACGAATTAATTAAATGATTAATTGGGCTTTTTGTTTGAGATACAATTGAATTATTTTCCCAACAATTCCAGAGCATTTTTCAATTTAATTTGGATCAATATTTACCATATGTTTGACGGCCAGCAGAAGTTGTTTCAATAAAGGAGCCGCGTGAATTTCTCTCAAAGGACCGCCTTGGGTAATGTGGTTATAGAGCTCGCCACCGCGAATCCACTCCGTGACCAGATAGACTCGTCCCAAAGTCTCGACTACCTCGAAAAGCCTAAAGGAAGTCATAAATATATGAAATAAACTTATATTTTAAAAGTGATATATTTACCTCAATATATTTGGATGATGAACACACTCGAGAGTGGCTATTTCACTGGACAGCATTCGCAGCGCCTTGGCATCGAGTCCGGCCCGATCCAGATCCACCACCTTAATGGCCACTTTGTCTGCAAATTTCACTATTAATATATGGATCAGGATAATTTCCTTCGGTAGTTTTTTTTACCACGCGTCAATTGGTGCACTGCGAGTTTGACTTTCGAGAAGTTGCCGCGTCCGATGTCGCCACAAAATCTGTACAGGCCAATACGACGGCCGATGGTTACCTTTAGTGTTAAATTATAAGAAATAAATAAGTCATTTTATGATTATCTTTAATAGTAATTTAAGGAAAATTCATAAGAACAAAAATTAAGGCCTATTTCAAGCTAAGAAATAGGGTCTTTTTTTTATTTGCTTAAGGAATAATGATTTTATTTTAATATTAATTAAAGCTTCTAGTTTCATTTTCATCAAACGAATGTCAAATTATGAGGCATTTCCCGAACATTTTGCTCAGGGCCAAGGGCCTTAAGGTTAAGTAATCCAAGGCGGCGATTATTTGATACTCCAATGTACACATGTTCTAGCAATTAACATTGCATACGCCCATTCCTTCCTGTAATTAATGCACTTGCGCCCCAAAACCCTTCGCTCAAGTTTAGCTGGTCTTGCAATTAGCCAAGGTCAAGTGCGGCACATTTCTTTTTTGTTAATGTAATTTGAACTGTGCACTGCACTTGACGTGGTCGCATTTTATTTTCTGCTTGTTGCTGGTCGTTCCTTTCACCTCTTGGCTTTCTGTTTTTTTTTTTTTTTGTTCTTTAATCCACCATTTGAGCCATCGAGAAGGAGGCGAGCGTTAATTAAGGAACGAGCAAACGCAACGCAACGCGGCGTATACGTAATGGAAATTCCTTGCCGTCGGTCACACGCGCATTCTGCAGCGGTAGCCCCAAACGGGCGATGAATGAGCTCACACAAAGACAACAAATCCCCAAATACACTGGCCGGAAAAGGACATATAAAAAGAATAACACTCTTTTTTATTAAAGAGCTTTAATAAAGAAAAGACTCTTAAAATTGGTGAAATTTGTAAATTATTGTGTTTGTTCCAAACACCTTTTACGAAATATATATACCTAAGCCATTGATTTAGTTAAAAATGTTCTAGGCCTGTTATAAAGTACGTAAATTTAAAGTAAGAATTTTTATTAAAAACTTTGCTTCCTAATTTTCTAAATTTTATCCCAATTACTTTTATATTTTTATTATTTTTCTATAAAGGAGTTTTAATTAAGAAAAGCGTCTTAAAACAGGTTATATTTTTAGAAGCATCTGTTTGTTCCCAACTCCCTTAAAAAAAAACATTTTAACTTTTGTATTAAATAATAATATAGTACATAATACTATTCAAGACTTTGCATTTAATAACATATTAAATTAAATGCTAATATATTAAACAAATTAATTAAAAAGAAAAGTTGCTATATTAAAAATATAAAAATGATTTCTTAAATATCCTTAGTGCTAAAAGGTTCGAATTGTTTTAAGTGTACCGCCTGACAACAGCATTGCTGCACAAGCAAATTAGCCTTGAACCCCTCTATTCCTAAATAATTGCAGCGCAGCAGCAGAGGGTTTGTGTTTTAGCTAACACACAAACACCCAGCCGGGAAAATGGTACAAAAACAACAAACGACAATAACCTGGCTCTAGTTTTCACCGTGACGTCAGAGCCAGAGAGGCAAGCCCTGTTTTTGTGTTCGCTGCCAAACAGGTTGCATTCAGACCTACTTCCCCGCACATGAGATGAGATACAATTCATCATGCGCAAGGACACGCAAATCTGGCACAATAAATGACACAATGCGAAGATAAATTCCTGCCATAACAATTTGCAGCCTTCACGCTTGTGACGCCACAAATTCAGCTAAAGGTATTTTCTTTGATGATACTACGGCTGCTTTAAATTTGAAACATAAACGTGTTTATAAATTTGCCTTTTCAAATGTATAATTTTTAAAATGATGATACTAGTCCATATTTCAAAACAATATTTTAGCCCTACCATCTTTTTTAAATGCAGTATACAAGGATGTCGAACTTATCACTCATTCGCAGTGTTGTCTCCGTTTTGCCTTTTGTATTTCATACTGCTCAGTTAATAATGCTATAATAAGCAAAATATACTATTTTTCTAAAAAATTAAATTGTGTTTCCAAATCTTGTTTTTAAAATCCATTATTTATGAATAATTTTTAAAATTTGTATATATAAAAAATATTAGAAAGTTGAAACGTTAAATAAGATTTTCCATTTAATATTGCAATTTAAATTTTCTACCCATTTTCACCAGCCAAATATAAATAGCATAAATTCGTTCATAAGCCATAAAGCTCATTGATCAAATTACTTAAAACGTATTAAAAAAGTTGGTTTGCTGAAATTGTGCCACAGCTAATGGCGGAGGTAATTGACTTTAACCGCACTGGGGGGTGGCGGAAAACCCGAAGTTACAGGTAACAGGAGGTGATGATGATTTTCGCCGCCACAGGTATTCTGGCAGTGGTACTGGCACTGGCACTGGCAGTCGGGCATTTCAATTTGCACTCACCTCGTGGCCGCAGCGCGGATCGCATTGCAGCGCTTTGGTTAGCCGCTGGTAGGGCGGAGTGGGCGGGGGCGGCTGACAAATTGTCAGGGGCGTCGTCGTCGCCGTCGAGGGGGTCACTTTCACAGTGGCTGAGCTGCGCAGCGCGTTGGTATCCACGGCTGCCGTTTTGCTGCTTTCACTTCCCGGAAATCGGACTGAGTTCAGTGTTGGCAACTTGTTGGTTCTCGTCCTCGTCTTCGTCCTTTTTTCTATGGTCCTTTTTCTCGAACTCGTGTGTAATTACAGTGCGGCAAGTCTTAGTCTTAGGGCAGTCTTACATTATTAAATGCTTTGTCTGCAAACACTTTTCTGACTTTCGGGGGGACGAAGAACACAACCACGCCTGCAAAAGAAAAGTTGGTAAGTTGGTAAGTGAAGAAGGAGAAGAGTTAAGCCAAGTTGATTTCTGTTGTTCGGTAAGCGTTTTATTCTATTTGTTGGCATTGCAGGTCAATTGAAATTATATAAGTTGATTGTTTTTCGGGGTGTTTGAGGAGCTTACAGGTAAGTTTGCGGCTTAGTTGGGATAGTTTTGTCCGAGTGAAATTAATCTTCGAATTTTATTTATTTTTGAGAAGGTCAAGGAAAAGTTTTTTGTTTATGGAGTCACGTATTGAACAATTTATTTTGGTTACTGTTATACAATCTTTGCTGTTTTTAATCGTTATAAGTCTAAAGTTATAATAAAATTTATAATAATGATAATAATAATAATTAAGCAAACTACTTGTATTGTATTATTAAGTTTTCGAAAGTGTTGTAAAAATATGACTAACATCTGTTTAATTTTATAACAAAAAAGTTTTTGATTTTCGATCATCTGTGAATTAACTAACAAAAACCAAATTGTTCTTAAAAATGTGTAACAAAACATTTACAAACAAGCATATTTCCCTAAACTGAAGCTTTTGAAAACTAGTTTAAATTAAATTAACCCAACTTTGGCAAATTTTTAATCAATTTCTTAACACAACCTTGATTTACCACGCTCCGAGAAATAAATTTTAATAATATATTTTTGGTAATTACATTCGTTGAAATTTATATACAATGACCTTAATGATTTTCAGTCAAAGGAAATGCCTGGCGACCATTAATTTCCCATTTTTTGCCACCTCAGCTAATTCAGCCATCAACTACAGAAAGATTGTTTATGAACAAAGATTTTTAGGGTACCAATAATGATGGATATGCCGTGAGTCATAAATTAGAATAATTAAATGCAACTTGACTCAAACACGTTCAACTTGCTTTCCTCTTAAGGAAACCCTCGTAAAAAATAATGCTGGCCAAATATAATTAACGGTTGTCGGAGGGACATGAAAATGAGAAAACTTTTGGCTGTAATGTAATCGCTATAGCGATATAGGTTGAGTTGAGTGTTCGACCCCGTGTTATCCAATTATGGTGGCTGTAACTCAACTAGTGGAAATGCTGCTGGGAGAAAACAGATTTCCAATAAGCGAATAAGCAATTCTTTAATAATTCAATAAGGAAAAGAGCGCGCATCCTTTAGCGAGGGCAAACATTAACTCGAAGTAATTACGTAAATGGATTTTCTTTCCTTCTTACTTTTATTTTATATTTTTTTTGCTCATCTTGCTCAAATTTCCTGCACGTCGTCTCGAATAAAACACAGAAATGGCAAACACAGCGCAGGGATCCCAGGAATCGGGGTAATGTTTATGTAGCAATGTAGCAGAAGGGGAGCAGAAGGACCTCCAGCGTGACAGGAAGTTGGTCAGGAAGGAAGTTGAGCAAAGGCGCAGCACCGACTAAGCCCCAAAACACAAGCTCGACCGGCAGGCGGCAGAGCGTTACAGAAGATTTGCCAATGGGCCCGCATACTAAACCATATACAAAATATATATATGTATATATAAAAGCACTCGCATACACACTGTATATTTCAACTATAAACACTTGAAATTATTATAAAAGCCGCAGGGCTGGCCCAAGTTTCTTGGCAAGTCGGCGACAGGCGACGCCATCTCTGTGATTGACTGACGGCCACAACTCGCCCACGTCCACGTCCCCTCATCCAAGTGGTTTTAACACTTTAGGAATGTGCGTACGGGTACAGTAGAGGCCAGCGAAATAGTTTTTTTTTTTTTTAATTTTGTTTTCCCATTTTAAAAAATAAAGTATATAATTAAAATGGTGAGCATTTTCCAAAGCATTTTTGCTATAGATAGATAGAGTTTTGTAAAATTTGCTTATATTTTTTTCTTTTTAGAAAATTAAAGATATATTTAAAATGTATTTAGAGATATTGGCCAGTTTTCTCGTGTTTTTGGTAAGCTTAAAGTAGAGCTTTCTATCTATTTTGCAAGTTATGACCTAGCTTAAATTTCCCATAATGCTTTAAATTAAAAATTCTAATACCTAAGCACGTAAGCAAATTATTCATTTGGTTGATGTAATAATATATATCACAGCATGTTGATTTAATGAACGCTAGAAAAAACCATTTTTATATAAATAATATATACTTTTTACTTTACTTTAAAAATTAAAAATGAAGGCATTATTATTTATTTGTTTTATTTTTTTATTGCTAACATGAAAACAATTATTGAATAAGAAATACTAACGTATTTGGATTTGAAATGTTATATGAAATTAAATATGTTAAGATAAGGGTCATCATTTTCAACATGCATTTTAAATTTTGCACTATTTTCATGGTCATAGTTGTAGAGTGTGTGGTTGGCACAATTAAATTCACATTTATATTCGCATGTAAGAATACAAGCGCAGAGTTTCGTGCCAGCTGTCACAAAATTTTCCCATTTTCCGCAGGAGCCCCATTTTCATTTCGACGCTCACAAGTATGCAACGAAATTTTTTACACTTTTCCCACGTATCAAACAGAAGCAGGCTCCGTTTTTTTGTGAATGTGTGTGGGGGTTTTTGGGGGAGTTGGGGTCACCTTGGTTGGGTTTTCCCCGCCCCGTCACGCATACATTTGCATGCTAATGACATCCCTACAGCCGACATCCCCTCAACGAGTATCTATGTGGAATTACTGTTTTAATTATAAAACTAAACGTGAATGCATTTGATATCAAAGCAAAACAGAAGCGACTCGGAGCTCAAAAACTTTTGAGTAGTTGCAATTTGAGTGATGGCTAAAAGCAAGAGTGCGGTGCGGCAGACTGGCGAAAGATAGTGCGGCGGTCTAAGTTCATTTCTGCCAGATGCAATTTTCAGCTGGCAAGGAGTGAAAGGAGCCCCATAACTGGGTCAAAAGTGTTTGCATTCAAGAAAATAAGCACTAAGGAAAAGCGAAATGGGTAATGCACAAAAAGCTAAGAACATATAGGATACTGCACATGTGTGGTATGAACTGAAAAAGACTTTCATTGTATATATGAAATCGTAATATTTTTTCGGTTAACCGAACTAAAATTGTATTTCATTACAATATTCATTAAATCATGAAATATTTGTTTAAATTCCAAGCACTCAAATTTCTACGAATATTTTTTGACATTAAATTGACATAGCTTTGGCATACAAATCAAATGTTTATAATTAAATTCTAAGCACTCAAATTTCTACAATTCTATCTATGTTGTTCATGCAACAAATTTTTACAACAAAATTTTGTGATTAAGTTGACATAGCTTTTTCATAAACTATCCATTTTATAAAAGCCGGCAATATTATTCTATAAAAGCAATCAATATTTTAAAAAGCAATCAAATTTATTTACGAACACAAATGTAAAAGAAAAAATATAAACTGCTCACATTTCTTAGAATTCTATTAATTCAAGAGAGCAAATTATAACGACTGTGTCCACTTACTTATTTGTCTACCAAAGAAGTCATGACTAACCACAAATTAAGACAACACATCCTTAAAGATAAATTTGATTTTTAAACCTAAAATAATTATCCAGTCTTTAATCCTCACCCAGTTACCTCAACAAACAGAAAAGATTCTTGAAGCTCATAAATTCTTGTAATATTTACAAGAGAAACCAATTGACCCATTTAGACCCTACTGGACATCCTATAAATCACACAGAAAAACGGTTTAGAGTTTCGCAATTTAAGACATGGCTGGTTCTGCTCTGGGGCAATTTCTGCTTGGCAGCCTCCCCCATAAAATAAGCTTTTGCTAGAGAATTATTCACACAATTTTGGGTCAAGTTCAATTGCAGACATTAATTATAAGGACTTGGCATTCTCTTGTTCGGCTCTCAAGTTCAAAAATATTTCAATTTGTTGGCCTTTCAGTGAGATTAAAGTGAGTGTGACGAACAGATGTTTAAATTGAAATACTAAAGCTGGCAATGTCTAGGTGTTAGTTAATTGAAAAACATAGATTAAGAAAGCAAATTTGATTAAGGTAATGTTAGTTGGATATGGATATTTTCTTGAAACACATATAAGAATTATAAAAGATTTTCTTAATAAAACATTGAATGCATTCAAATGTATTTTGCCAGTCTATTCTGAGTTTTTGACCAACTTTGGTTTAACTTAGTGCGATTCAGAATCATACAAAATGTATTTATTAAGTAGTATATTTTAAAAGGTTTTCTTAGAAAACAATGTTGTAAAATTCATTGCAAATAATTTTACCAGCTCTATTGTGCACTTTTCCACACATGATTCATCTTAGTGCGTTTCGGAATCATACAAGTGCGTATATGTCGTATGAATAAAAATAACAAACAGCGCATAATGCGGTTTGTTTATAGAGTGCATGCTAAGCGGGGGGTTCGGTCGGTTTCAGTGGTCGGAAAATCGCTGGCGGCCAATGAATATAAATAGAAAATGAATTCCAAAAAGTGAGATGTGCAGTGCAGAGGCTGTTTTGGATGGGCAAAACTGGCGCAAGGACACTTGTTGTGGTCACCAGTGTGCCATTAACACCATTAACCCGCCCGAGAAATCGATGCAATCTGCATGGCATTATAAGGCAAACTAAGGCATAGTAAGAAAGAAGGCATCCCATATATCGTTTGAGTATGTTAATGATATTATGGCAAAGTAAATGCAATAAAAATGAATAATTAGAGTGAAAGGAGCTCTGAAAATGGAATTTATCACGATTTGCACATGTAATTAATTAGTTTTTACGCTCCGTAAAGCAAAAGCCCGAGAAGTCATTACGGATTCCTGCCTTCGTTCGCCATTCACTTTTCCCCATTCGCAATTTGAATTTCATACAGCAGAAGCAAAAACTACAGCGACCAAAATTCAGTTATGTCCTTCAACTTGAAC